CAATATATCTTTGTACACCTATGTACAGGTGTGTGGATACTTTCGGTACTGTATGAAGCCTTCAGATGGACAAATAAAGCAGCTGGGGTTGACAAGATGGGTTCCCTGGCCTAAAGTGCCATGTTGACAATAAATAAAATGTTGATATGCTGCAGTAACGTTGTCATCCCACACTCTCTAATATGGTCTAACACCGTATCATCCTCCTGGTACTGCCTGTGAATATGTAAAAAACTTCTAGGCAGTACTGGGAGAAGTATGCTGGTAGACTCACGGTTTTCAGGATCCTGACAACAGCATTTCCTCTGGCTGTCTGAAAGGTGTGTCCCTACAGTTCATAAGAACACCATGACACTCCAGCAGAAGGTGGGTCACCATAACTGCAGCTGTCAGCTCCTGTGCTGCTCCACGCTTATCTGTTCAATAAGTGTCTAAAAACACAGGAAAAACTCAGACAAGGCTTTATTATTAGCTCTATATTATGTTAGTTATGTGATAATGCCAGTTATTAGGGTTGTAGGCTGTAGGATGCTTTTCATCCTACATATGTGAAACAGTAACAAAATATTCCTGTAACATACAGTATTCATATAACAATTGTTCAGTGGTGTCTCTGAAGTTTTACAGTCAGTGACTGACGTGCACTGCACAGCTAATGTTACAGGAACATTACTCAGTAAGATGTGAACACAGAGCTGTGGTATAAAAACACTCTGTGTTGTGTTGTTCTTGTTGATATCAAGCGGACCATGTAGTAATATAATTAAAACACAGAGCTGTGGTATAAATACACTCTGTGTTGTGTTGTTCTTGTTGATATCAAGCAGACCATGTAGTAATATAATTAAAACACAAACCTGTAGTTTCATTCTGCTCCAGTGGTTTAGTCTCTCCTCCCCTTCACTGCTGCAACTCCAGGATCTTACTCACCTCACTACACACTGGACCTTTAATACATACCTCATTACTTTCGTAGATATTAATGCACATAAACAGGTTGTGTGGTCGACATAAATGTATTGTAGAACTGCTGCTGCCGAAAATATTAAACTCAACTCCTTTGATGGAATAGCAAAGTAAATGAATAAATGTTTGTCTTTTCTATACCTCATGTTTAGTCTTTTATCCTTTGGTTTGAGATGAGAAGGCCCTAAGAAAGTAAAGTTACATTTTAAACGTGTGGTTAACCTGATTTTTTATGATTTTTATTAAAAATCAGAGGGACAAATGACAGTTATAGAGCACTGGGAAATTAAACATTTTATCAAACCAGGTCAGGCAAATTTAATGTACATGAATACTCCAGCCGTGCACTTCCTGCTGGTTCAAATTGACTTCTGTAGCTGCAGCAGCCTCTTGAATTAATCATAATGTAAAATAATGTCCAACACTTGATGAATGAGTGCAGCAGAACAGTGTGAGGCTCTGTATTGCTGCACACTCACATGTTACATCAAGGCTTTGCTTGTAATCGAGCGTGACGCTAAAGCCTTTCAGCTTGTAAAGCTGGTTTGTGTGCGTCAGTGAGCGGGCCATTGGAGGAAAATAAGTAAGAGGAGGAGAAGAGGAGGGGGGTAAAGGAAGTTAGCTGAATGTGTGACTGTCAGGAAAGTCAACAAAAGTGACTGACAGAACAGAGTGACCAACTTTCAATAGGAATAGTTCCTCAGCTGTCTTTGTAAAAGAAGACATAGGGAATACTTTCTTCTTTTTAACCCAAAAATCTTTTAATCCTTGAAATACCTATAAAGATGAGCTGTATTCCTGCCTCACACAGGTAAGATACATAACAAATACTTGACATGATGTATCTTCCTGCCCATGCTGCGATAGCTGAGATAAATGGTGTTTTGTGTTATATTCTTAAAGCACTATTGTTGATGTCATCTTACAGGATAATCACGCTATTAAATTATCCTCTTAATTCCTTGAAAATGATTACCCTTTATCTCAGGCTGTCTTTTTTTGCACCTTTTCTCACCCTTCCCCCATCTTTGCAGCTGACAAGTCACTTGTTGTTCAAGCCTGTTATTCCATTAAGTGCTTACCTGCAGATTAACTCAGAGGAAAAAAACTCTGACTTGGCCAGCTCCCTCCTCATCCAATGCTCTCATTTTCAATACAGCCCAAGTATTTTTTGTCTCACTGAAAAGATTTATAATGCACTCCATCTGAGTCTCTGTGAAGATGAGTTATATATATTATAATTTTATTTCTTCTGAACACATGTCTTGAATCTATTTTGATATATATGTTCTTGGATGTTGTAGTGCCAAATAGAGCTTTTCCACAACAGCCATTCCAACATGAAACAATAGGTTAACTCATATATTCTAATCACATCGGTTAAAGGGGAATTGTAATATTTTTCAACCTGGACCATATGTTTATAAATGTATGTGTAAATGAATAGTATGGAATTATTACCTCTGCCAATGCTCCAGTTTAACAGGTGAGATTTGTGTAAGTTTTAGACTATCTGAATGAATTTCAAATGTTTAATTCAAGTCACAGAATAAAGCAATGACTTGGAATTTTAACCTCTCATCATTACAAAAAGCCCAAAATGTTACCCAGATGTCATTGAAGGTGTGACTTGAGATCGTAAACATTGTTTGACACAAATACACTGAGGTTGTCATTGAGTCGAACCAAAGCAAAGCCCTCATCAATGTTTGTGTCCTGACAACATGTACACACCCAGAACAGGTGGAAAAATTCCAGAATTCCATATATCTAAACAGACTAAATCCCTCGTTAATGTGATTGGAAGTTTATTTCATGTTAGAATGGCTGCTGTGGAAAAGCTTTATAGTTTCCAGATATAATTTGATTGATAAGGATCAGCAAATTTTGTTTTTCTGTAGCTTCTGTTCATTGCTGAAACCTTCAATTTCAGTTTAATCAAATCAAAAATAAATTGTATTTGTATTTGCACCAAATCATAACACACATGATCTCAAGGCACTTTATATAGTGTGGTTGATGTCACGGTCATTGCATTGTAGACTTGGGGCAAAGAAGACATTCTGTTATTATGTTGCTGAAATTCAGTGGGCCAGTAATGACTTTTCACAGTATAAATGCTTCAGGCAAAACTAATTAAACAAGTTTGTTTTTTTTGCAGTATGAGCACCATTCTCAGTCAAGTAGAATCTCAGATGGACGACAGTTCAGTTCAGAGAAGAGGTAGCAGAGCCTACCAGGTACGGATTGCCTTTTTTTCTCTTGCTAAAATTGCATCATTTGTTTTCAAATCCACATGTTTGATTTGTTGAAACGGTGTTATCTCAATAGTTCTTCACTTTCTTGTTCCTGTTCGAGTTGCTTGCTGAAAATATTTCTGGCAGTGCAAGATGATAATACACAAAAACATGTACCTTTATATACTCTGCCTTACTTCCCAGTCGCCTTTTACTTTTGTATTTGTGTCTTTTCAATCATTAAAAAAGAAAGAGGATTACATTGAAAACTACAACCTATTTATAACCCTGCATTTATTTTTTAAATGCATTGCTGCAATAACAGTTGGACTGAACCAATGCTGGGTTGAGTAATGGGTTTGACCCAGCATGGTTATTTGTTTTTACCCCAGACCGGTTAAAATTGACTACATTGTTGGAATAAAAATACCAAATTAGAGTGAAAAAATACAACACAAATTAAAATATTACAATTACTTACTCTAAATACTTAAGAAACGTAATGACGAAATATAATAATAGTAAAATTATTAAATTATTAAAAAAGCACATTGTCCCAGCTGTTATTTATTATTACTCAATTTATACCAAGTCTGAACATAAACAAAACATCAGTCAAAATGGCTAAACATCACCAAAACACACAACACTCCCATGAGCCCCTGCAACATGCCGTCGAATCAGACTCACCGATCGCTACAATACCTCTTAAGCTGTTTACTTGGCGAATGAAATGTATTAAGTCTTTAATATTTCCATTTACATGCAACTGTGCATAGTCTTGAAAAATTATCCATCAACCATCCTTGGACGTGTATGAAGCCCCCTCTATGTCAATCACCGTGTTTTTTAAACATTTTTCCCTAACTCTCAACCCTAGACTTGTAAACTGTTGTCTAGTTGGTTAAAAAGGTAAAAAGTTAAAGAAAAAAATACATGTGCAGTTTGACTGTTAAATCTCTGCAAGCTTTGGACTCTTAATTTAATTTGAGAATTAAAAATGTGTGTCTCTTTGGTTTAGGTTAGCTAATGTAGCTGACATATATTAATAAGCTGTGTTAAGAGGCTGTGTTTTGCAAACTGCCATAACTGAGACATATAATGAATGTGCAGTATACATGTCTAAAGAATTATTATAAATTCAGAATAATATTAGCACATGTAACATGTCATTGTTAAAAGATCCCTAATACTAAATATACAATTTTACTGTGCATGTATACGCACTGTGGACGGGAAGCCCATCCTTGTGTTCAAGGGGTGACTTTTTTACGAAAAGCAGTAGTAGTGCTTTGTCTTAAACATTGGATTTCCAACACTGCCTGTCCACTCCCCTGATGACATAATACAAAACAATTTATTTTGAAAGAGCAACATTCAATGGGGAAAGCCTAGTACTTGCTTGGCTAATCAGTTGTGAAGCTTGATAACTCTCTCGATCTGTCAGTAACATTTGCATTAAGTGTGGTGGTTCAGAATTGACTTGGAAGGTCTGAGGGTTAATATTTGCAGATGTATCCTCAGATGCTTTTACAACTTTTTAAAAGTTTGGAATAACATAACCTTTTTTTTTTTAAGGAAATGAATACAAATCATATATCTGCCTGTTCCAGATCTTTCCAGAAGCCAACAAGAATGAAGATTCAGATTCCAGTTCCTACCCTGAAGACTTTCTGTATAGGAGGGAGCGTCTCCCCTCTATTGTTGTGGAGCCCACAGAGCACAGTGAGTTGGAGAGCAGGGAGCTTCACTGGCCTCGACGATGCCAAATGAGCAACAATGTGAATGATGAGGAGGAAAAATCTGGTGATCACACAGAGGTCTCTGTGGATGGAGCTCAGCAGGAGGACATGGGAATGGAAGAACGGTGAGGAGATTGCAGTAATATCATATTTGATCCTACCTTTCAAACACATTTGACCTGTGTTCATTTTACTGTCTGTCCGCATTATTGTGCTCATTTCTGCACTTACAAGAGTAAAAAACTTACAAGCTGTTTGGGCTATGCAAGAGTTTGACCGCACGTGGAAACAAAGTCATGCAACACAGATCTCACATCAGAGGATACCACACATACTGTGCAATGCAATAGCTGTAATGTCATAGCAGTTGGAGGATCATATATGTTTCAAAAACACAATTTTCCTCCAGAGAAGGATATCAGAGAACATTTACACTAAAAACATGATGTAAATGACGCAGTTTTGAGTCAAATTTGAATGTCGGGTCATCAATACTCTGTATCCTTTGTACCTGACAGTGTCTCTGAATTATTATTGTTGCAGCTCAGTTGCCAGGAAGTCTTCTATTGGACCATCCCAGAGTCAACTATCCCTCTCACGGCTGACTCCACCTGACTCCCCCCCCCACCTTGAAGCTGCTCCACCATGTCTGAAGAGTACAGAGAACAGTACAGACTGACATAATTGCAGTTTACCTGAATTGTGTGTATTTAAAATGTGTAATCAGGTCGTGAGTGCTATACCAATAAATAAGAATCCTTGAAGATGCAAGGTCCATTTCAGATTTTTAAAAAATTGAAGCTGAATCCAGTATTGCTATTTGCTGATTGATATATCTAGTTTAGTATTATCTGTGGTTAACTGCTGCACTACTGTATCTGTAATGAGTAACTACCTTACCAGTACTTCTCAGGGTGATTTTCCCCTTTGCAACACCATTTTCATTCCACACCAAATAAGCATGTGATGAATGAATATCAGATCCAGTTTACTAAAGCATGAAAGCCTGGCCCAGACCCAACATGTCTGTTATGGCTGTTACCATAGCAATGAGAGCTACAACTGTGTCATGGCATTAGTGGACCCACAGAATGGAGGAAACCTTCATCATTTCCAAAGAATTGATTAGTATGTTTATGAGGATTTCACCTATAAGATTACTAAATTGAACTGCCTAATAATTACATTTTATATGTCAAGGTGTAAAATCATCTTTGCTGGAATTTAGACCATGTTGGGACCTAACAACTCTTACCCCCATCATTGGGAACATTAACAGCAGTTCCATTCACCAACATACAAGTGTAGAGTCCCTTCAAAATCAATCAATCAATCAATCAATCAATCAAATCTATTTATATAGCACGGTATCACAACAAACAGTTGCCTCAGGGTGCTGCACAAAAGTCCAAGATCTGAAGAAACACAAAATCCAACTTGTTCCACACCGAGCAATCATGAGCAACAGCGGGGAGGAAAAACTCCCAGCTGGAAGAAACCTCCGGCAGAACCGGGCTCGGTGTGGACAGCCTCTGCCAAGACTGGTTGGGGTGATGGAGAAAGAAAAAGTAATATAGGGGAACAAAAGGAAATAAAGGTGGGGTTGAGTCACAGTGTCTGGTCAAGGCTTGAATCCAGCCCAGGAATCTCCACATGGACGTTTGGATGATCTTCCAAGGGTCTGGAGGTCCCCCCGGGCACTCCTGCCTCCCTCATGGTCCAACATGCGCAGTAGTAGGAATCATGGCTCCAAAGGTGAGAGGTCCTAGGGTGAGAGTGCTGGTGGTTGCATGCTGGTGGTTGCGTGACCCTCCATGTCAGCCCTGCAACAGACTGGCGACCTCACTAGGTCCATCCCTTTATCAAAAAGGAAGGTTTTAAGACTAGCCTTAAAGGTAGAGACTGTGTCTGCCTCCCTCACTGAGAGTGGGAGCTGGTTCCAAAGAAGGGGGGCTTGGTGACTAAAAGTTCTACCACCCATTCTACTCTTAGTAACTCTAGGCACTACAAGGAGTCCAGAGTTTAGGAAGTGAAGTGGTCTGTGGGGGCAGTAAGGGGTTAAGAGCTCTTTAATATAGGATAGGGCCTGATTGTTGAGGGCCTTATAAGTTGGCAGGATGATTTTGAAATCTATCCTCTGTTGAACAGGGAGCCAGTGAAGTGAAGCTAAGACAGCAGTAATGTGATCCCGTCTTCTGGTTCCTGTCAGTACTCGTGCAGCAGCGTTCTGCACTAGCTGAAGGGTTCTTAAGGATCTGCTGGGACACCCTGATAATAGGGAGTTGCAGTAGTCTAGCCTAGACGTAATAAAGGCATGAATCAGTTTTCCAGAATCCTGTTTTGACAGGATGTGTCTGATTCTCTTTATATTATGCAGATGAAAGAAAGCTATTCTGGAGGTTTGACTAATGTGTTGGGTAAGTGACAGATCTTCATCAATGATAACTCCTAGGTTCTTCACAGTGGAGTTTAGAACCAGGCGGATATCATCTAGGTTAACCAACTGATTAGACAGAGTTTCTCTGAGATGCCTAGGACCCAGGATTATGACCTCAGTTTTGTCTGTGTTTAACAATAAGAAATTCTGGGTCATTCAGGCCTTGATGTCTTTAAGACAGTTTTGAAATTGAATTAAATGGTTCAGTTCATCTGACTTTATAGATAAATATCACAGTGTGTCATCTGTATAGCAGTGAAAAAGAATGTTATGTTTTCTAATAATATTGCCTAATGTATTAATTAAAGAGTATTGGACCAAGAACCGAACCTTGTGGGACTCCATGATTAACTTGTGTAAATCAAGTGTATGATGAGTATTCATCATTAACACTAACAAAGTGGAATCTATTTGATAAATAAGAACTGAACCAGCTTAATTCTGTCCCTCCAATACCAACCTCTTGCTCTAATCTTTGAAGGAGAATGTTATGGTCAATGGTGTCAAATGCAGCACTGAGATCTAACATGACCAGCATGGAGACAAGACCCTGGTCAGAGGCTAGGAGAATATAATTTGAAACTTTTAAAAGTGCTGACTCTGTACTATGGTGCATTCTAAATCCAGACTGATAGGCCTCCTGCAGGTTATTTCTCTGGAGGTGATTGAGCAGCTGATTTACAACGGCTCTGTAAGGTCTGTAATTTGTTAAGATACCTGCATCGAAGCTAGGCTTCTTTAGCAGAGGCTTAATCATTGCTAGTTTAAAAGCCTGTGGTACATAACCAGTTAATAAAGAGCTATTGATAAGATTCAGTACGGTGCTGCCGACTTCTAAGAAAGCCTCTTTAAAGAGCTGAGTAGGGATGGGATCCAGCAAGCAGGTTAAAGTTTTAGAGGATGAGACTAAAGAAGATAGCTGTGAAAGGGTTATCTGGGAGAACTGATCTAACCACCAGTCTAGGTCTACACTTTTTTAATAGTTGACTGAGTTTTTCGGGAGTAAAGGTGAATTTTCTCTCTGATAGTTTCAATTTTAACAGTGAAGAAGTGAATAAAATCATTGCTGCTCAATGACAATGGGATTTTTAGTTCAATAGAGCTGTGGCTCTTGGTCAGCCTGGATACAGCTTTTTTATGCACTTCAAGGCTACTCCTCCAGGAAGTAAAATTAACTTCAGAACGGACGGAGCGCCACTTCCTCTCTAACCTCCATGTTGCGTGTTTTAGGGTCTGATTTTCAGAAGTAAACCACAGAGTGAACCTCCTCTGATGAATTAACTTCTTTTTCAGAGGAGCAATACTATCAAGGACAGTTTGAAGTGATGAGGTTGTATTATCCACTAAGTTACCGAGTTCTGCAGGATGAAAAGATAATCACGCATTTCATTTACGCATGGCTGCAGAATAGAGGGGATTATCTCCTTGAATTTATCAATTTTGTTATCGGACAGAAACCGACTATGGGAGAATTGTTGACTCGCCTGAGTACAGTTGCTAGTCATAAATTCAAATGAGAGAAGGAAATGATCTGATAATAAAGGGTTGGAATCACAAACTACTAGATTCTCAACATCAATGCCATGTGTCAGTATAAGGTCTCAGGTGTGGTTTAAGTTATGAGTTGGTTTATCTATGTGCTGACTGAAACCAAATTAATCTATCAGCTCTAAGGCTATCATTTGCTTCATCAACATGAATGTTAAAGTCACCCATGATGATGATTTTATCTGCACTAAGGACTAATTCTGACAGAAATTCGGCAAATTAATTTAGAAACTCTGTATAAACAGTGGGTGGGCGATATAAGATGGTTAAATAAACAGGTTTATGTTGTTTGAGGGTTGGGTGGGAAAGACAAAGGGTGAGGCTTTCAAACGATGTAAGGTAAGAGTTATATATTGCTGCTACCCCTCCACCTCTACCTGTACCTGGGGAAAATGTGTATTAATGTGGGTTGAAGGTGTAGCTTCATTTAAGATCACAAATCGTCCTGTTGGAGCCAGGATTCTGTTATACAGACTAAATCAAATTTTTGATCACTAATCAGGTCATTGATCAGTAGAGATTTGGACCTGAGTGATCTGACGTTTAGTCAGCCACATTTAATTTTACTATGTTTAGATTCTCACACAAATTGTGTTTAAAAGTTATAGTCATAGTATAGAAGTCATAGTAATTTCAACCACTGTACTATTGATCACTTGCATCACAGTTACAGAAATAAGGTAACAATCCTGTTTACAAAGCTCAATATATCAACACCTTCATATGCCGTAAGTCCAGCCACATTTGAGAATATAATAGCTGTGTGACTGTTGAGATCGTTGTTTTTTGTAGCCACAGTTATAGGGTGAACTGCTCCTTCCATCATCTTGTAAGAGAAAGTGTTGATACAATCTTAACATCAACGTACATGTATCTTGCATCATTAATGATTGAGGATCAAAACATGACAAATTATTGAATACCTGAGTGAGTGAGGGCTGAAGCCTTTCAGACACATTTGACCTGTGTTCACTTTACTGTCTTTGCACATTATTGCAATCATTTCTGCACTGTCCCAGTATTTTTGAATGTTGGGTCATACACTTACAAGAGTAGAAAACGTATACGCTGTTTGGGCTATGCAAGAGTTTGACCTCATGTGGAAACAAAGTCATGCAACATTGATCTCTCATGTACTGTCATTATTCAAATGTCATACACAGTTTTAGCTGTTGCTATAGCTGTAATGGTAGAGGATCATATATGTTTTAATATTACAATTTCAATTCCTTTTTTATATGATGTGTATAGTAAGTATGTCCTTACTGCAAATTCTGTGTGAGTGGATTTCCCAGAGGAGAATATCAAACAGAGTACATGGATCATTTCCACTGATTTTTGAGCTGATGTATACCATGTTTAGCTACTAGGATGAAAATTGCTGATAAGGCAGTGGACAAGAAACAGAACAGTGTACAGGGCATCAGCAGACACCAATAATAACACAGCAAATGCACACTATACTTAACAATATTCTCTCAATACAGACCTCCTCAGCCAAAAGGGAAATCAAGACATTATGTGTAGACTCACTAGTGTAAACCTTTTTTTAAACTAACAACAGTGTGAAGAAGATAACCCCTTAAAATGACATCAGTGAGCTTGTATCTACAACTTCTGACCTCTAGAGGGAACTAGAGCAACACATCACACTGGTTGATGTCTAGTCCCAGTGGTGGCAAAGAAAATATAGTTCCCACCTCACATTAACCAAAGCTTGCATGCAGTTATTTTCTAAATTGGAATATAAAAACCCCAACAATATGTGGCAACTGTATTTCAGCAGAGAACTTTCTGAAAAGAATAGTGGTTTTCTTAGTTGACCATTTTAGATTTAGAACATGTCAAAGACCCTTTGACCAGTCAGCTGAGCAGGCATACAAGATTAAATGAGATAAACACTGACAATATTGTCTATTGGTGCAGTCCAAAGCCCATAAATGAATCTAGACTAGGTAGGGAAGTGATTCATGGTTCAGGCCTACATTGTAAGTCTTTTTTAAAATATAGTCAATTTCTTTCTTTATCAACAAGGAACCAAAAATGCAGATAAGACTTAAATTTCAAAAGATAAATGTAGTTCAAATATAGTCAGAATTCTGAAATCTGCTCGACATTTATTTTTTATTTTCTATGTGGACCTACATATAAATAATATCTCCACAGTCTACAGAAATTACAAACACTCCCTACACACACTATACAGAGAGACATGTTTGGCATTGATATGAGTGTGGCCCTGATATGAGAAATCTTTAGAGATAGACTTGACACAATGGGACAGCCTGACATTTGACTATATGAAGCAATAATACTGTGGATAGTGTGGCCTACTTCCAGTCTGAAATGTGCCCATGGTTCATAAATGCTGGGCAGCTGCTATAGTGTTATTGGACTACTCTTGCTCTCTCTCACATTCATCAGAGCTGAAAATAAACCTAGGGGGAAGGGGGACTGTGCCAGCAGTGTTTGAGTGACATATGATAGAGAAAGTGCTGTACATAGATGCACTGTATGAATGTGGGTGTGATTGGCCCAATGGCAAAAGCGTAAAGTGCTTTGAGTGGTCATCAAGACTAGAAAAGAATTTTCCATTTACTGTGTGCAGAAGAAGGTGGAGTAACCAGCACTCACCGGCTCACCGGCTTTCTCGCTTGACAAAATCTAGCAGTTACAAAGCTTTTGAGAGCATCTTTACTTAATCACTTTCGAAAAATGTCATGAAATTTAATTTTTTTAGTGGTAGTAGTAATTAATCCGCTTCATTATCTCTAAATTATCTTAGCAGGCCTGCTGAGGCATGTACTTCTAAGTTTTAATAAAAAATCATCTCCCACAACCTTATACCAATGTGTACTTTGTCACTCTTTAGACTATGTCAACAATCGCCTTTGTTCCTGTAAAAACGACTATAGCCACCAGAGGTTTCCAAAATGTGTTACCATATGTATATCCTTACCTGTGCATATTTGAGTCAATCTCTGTGTGCAGATGAAATAGAGGGGACTGAAGCTAAGAGATAGAAAATCAAAAAACTGATGGAGAAGTAAATGGGCTCTGAATTGCCTTCCTGTTGCTTTGTCTACAGATACAGCAGTCTATAAAAAAATTTGGATGGAGGAGAAAAAATAGGTCAATCACACTGAATCCAAAAATAATAGCCCCTCTGTCTCCTCTCTAACCATCACCCTCTCTGTCTGGCTAATCAAAGCCAGATGTGTGCACACGAGGCCCTCATTCAACCTCCGCCATTCCCTCCTCCCTCTCTCCATCTCTCACTGTCTCTCTGTTTCACTTTCTCAGCGTGGGTTTCCTCCTAGGCTCAGTGCCTCTCTGTTCCTCCTCCTTCCTTCATGCCCCCACCCCCTCCCCCGACTCTCTGGCAATGCAGGAAATACTCTAGGTTCCTGGCCCTGAAGGGAGCATGTTTCTTCTAACCACTAACAGATGGAGGGATGAAGGATGCAAGAGAAAGACATGAGCGTAAAGGTTGGCAACTGGGAAAAAGTTGCCAATACTGAGATGGATTAGACGATAAAGAGCTTCAGACGTTGCAGAAGTGAGAAGGTCTGTTGTTTCCCTTTGGAGTATTGGTGGCTTATATGAGCCGTTGTACCTCTTACTTCCTGTCTTTTCCACTTTAATGAATTTAACCAGCTAGAACTGAATCCTAGAGTCATTAAACAACCCATTTAATAGGAATCCCCTTGTGCTCTCCAATCACACACACACACACACACACACACACACACACACACACACACACACACACACACACACAGACACACACATAACATTTGTACTTCTATCTTAGTGAGGACACTCATTGGCATAATGCATTCCCTGGCTCCCAACCCTAACCATACATCTAAAACACCCACATCCGGTCTTCACCCTCTCAGTGAACCTCTTTTAAGATTAGTTTATACTGTGAGCACTATATTGGTAGATCTATAATTAACAGTAGCCAGCAGTTGTAAAAGTAATCGTAATATTAGTGGCACAATAGTAGTAACAGGTGAAGCTGAACAGTAATAGACACAGTTGAGTTGATTGTTGTAATGGTAGTACCAGTTAGGAGCATTAACAGTTTTAAATGGTAGTGCAAGAATTATCAGTATTAGTAACATGAATTGACTTGTAATAGTAGTTGTCAGTTGGCAGTTAAAATACCATAGTTGTAATTGCAGTTGTCATGATAATAGTAGGAATCTATAAGTAATGGTCTTTGTAATAATAATAATGATATCATTTACAAAAATAACAGAAAGAGTTGTAATGGTGGGCCTCATGCAAGAACTGTTTGTACGAACAGATGTGCTCTCATAGGATTGATAGAGGGTAACTTGCGGAAGTCACAAATTTTCTTGTATTTAAATTTTCTTTAAGGTACAAACAGAATTTGCAAGTGGTCCTGATCACAAATTCATTTTATTTATTTATATAATAAAGTTTGTACAGTCCATGCAGAGAAAATCAAATCAAATCAAATTTTATTTGTATAGCCCAAATTCACAAAACACATTTTGCCTCAGAGGGCTTTACAATCTGTACAGGGAGTGACACCCTCTGTCCTGAGACCCTCGGTTCAAGTGAGGAAAAACCTGCCCACAAAAAAACCCTTTTAACAGGGAAAAGAAGGTGGAAGAAACCTCAGGGAGTGCCACAAAGGAGGGATCCTTCTCTCAGGACGGACAGACATGCAATGGATGTCACGTGTACAGAACAACACAACAGAAACATTGTACAATTACAATGAAAGACAATGATTACAGTAGTAGTGGTTAGCAGTGGTGGTAATATATAACAATGCTACAATAATAAACAAGTTAATATTAATGTCATAGAATGATGACTAATAGTAATAACAAGAGTGGATGTCAGGCAGGGCCATGGCAGTAGTGGCAACCACGATCCATTACCGGGAGCAGCCATGATCCATGAGAACCTGCTGGATGAGAGAGCACAGAAACTCCGGGGAAGAAATTTAGTTAGTAACATGCTTTAATGAAAGAAAACATGGAGGATATCCAGAGCTCAGTGTGTGTTTGAGAGCAGCTATACTTCTCAATCACTTCTGTGCTGTGTGTGTTTTTATATGCCTGTGTCATGGTGTGTGGTCTGACTATACCTATAGTGAGGCAGTAAACAAGCTTCAATTGATGAAACTACGGGTTAATGTTTTTCTTCTAGAATATTAAAGAAACACAAGTTTTATCTTCTGGCGTTTCTTTATTTTTTAAAACATATTTTATACAATGCATATCAAATTTCATACAAAAAGAAGCTCATAGTGATTTGGGTAGTGCGTGTTATATGATAATACTGTCAAATACAGAAAGTGACATTGTAATGTTAAATACATTCTTGGGCAGGCAACAATTTTATTAGTCTTAATATTAAAACATTAGAAATAAACAATCAATAGCATATAGAACCCCCTTAATAGGGTATATATATGTATATATATATATATATATATAATAAAACACATTTGCTCTGTGAGACATTTAGGCCCAATCCTATTTCACCCCTTCTCCCTACCCCTCCCCTTTTTCAAGGGTTATCTCGCCCCTTAAAACGAAGGGGTAGTGGTTGAAATCTTCCTCTATGAATTGGGAAAGCACTTCAAGAAGTCACTACATCATCAGTAGTCGTCGATGTAAGTAGACATGACAAAAAGTTTTACCAGGAGAGTCACTATCAAAACATTGTTGAGAGAGTTCATAAACCAAAGCTCTTTTTTACAGTTACTAAAGTGACAAACCTATAATATCCTAATAACATCTATGCTAATGCAGGTGAATCAAATTACCAGCTTTCCCTCCATTCTATATCAATAATGGTATGGCACAATGACATTTGTCATCAATCTAATTGAAATTGAAATGCTTTGATGCTCTGCATTATTATTATTATGTATAAATAAAAAGCACACTGCTTCAGACAACCCTGTCAGGATGCTTTGTTATTAGAGGAGCAGTTCAGTTTAGTAACATTGCTGCTATACGGTAGTTGAATCAAGTGCATTGTGTATCTTCAAAGAGGAGGGAATGCAACAGGAAAATATGTAAAAATACGGTGTGACGTTAGCATGCTAGCAATTTTTTTTAATGTTGTTGTGAAAAAATGACCATAATTCATTGAAACGATGTTAAACTAAGATATAGCAATTATTTATTAATGGAGAAAATACAAACATTTGTGGGTCTCTCTCCCATCTTGCCGGGTCTGAATAATCTTAGTTTCAAGGGGTCCATCCATCCACCCCTCCATCCCAACAAGAATCGAGACACCCTACCTGCATAAGTACAAGACGGAGGGGTAGGGAGAAGGGGTGAAATGGGATTGAGCCTTAATCCCACCAAAATGTTCTAATGATAATTTAAAGATACTGTTGTATCTTACTGTTTTTTGTCTGCGGCTATAATAATTGAAACAGATTACTAACTCCACAAATTCACAGTCACTTTGTATTGCAATAACATTCTCCTCCTCCAGAACCCCTAATTTTCTCCATTAAAATAATTTTTGGCCATGTTTAACAGATATATTTTATACCATAAATAATACATTTCATAGCTGGCATTTCAACAATATGTTTCCAACAATGTTCTAGGTGAAAGAGTGTGTTGCAAGGGACTTTACAAACACACTTAAAGGATTGTTTGATTCAAAATGTCTGCACATAGAGCCTCATGCAAGAACTGCTGCTACAAAGAAACTGAAAGTGTTTCAGACCTGTCTACAATAAGTAGGCCTCTCTGTACATGGGGAAAAACACCTGTCAGACTTCAAATTATATTAAAATAATATTTAAAGTTTCAAGTCTGTGAAGAAAATTCAGTGATTACATGTTAGAAAATAATTGCTGTGAACATGGGACAGGACTGTGAACTATGTAATACTGATTTGTGGAATTACTTAGCATAACCCCTCCTGGAGCCCATTAGAATCAGGGGTCCTCAACTGCTAGTTACTACACATATGAAAGGCTATAGGTTGTGAGCTTGTGGCACATTTGCCTTGTAAATCCATTTTAAATTCCAGAATTTTATTTCAGAAGAATGACGAAATTAGAGAAAAAGATGGATATATTTTTTTAACAGTCATATTCAGTAAGAGTTGAGGATCAGTTTCACTACCTGCCTCTGAAGTGACCTTTTTACACAGGGTAGTTTCATAAAGTTGGAGATGACCTGGATTCACATCCTCCGTTGTACCCAACAGTGCAACATCGCCAACGGTACACTATTTTCTCATGACTCTCACATGGCCTAGCCCACCTCCCGCCTAGATCATGAACTGCTTTGTTTTTAGCAATTATGTTTTCAGCATAATAACATACCATCTTAAAGGTTAAGTGTGTAGAAGTGTGGTGAATTTGCATGTTGCAGCTAAATACCCCTCACCTCACCCTCCCATTCAAAGCATAAAGAAGAGAACCTGTGGAAGCCTTCAGTTGCCCTAAAAACTCAAAAGGTATTTAGTTTGTCGAGTCTGTAAAAAACATGGCAGCCTCCTTAGAGAGGAGATGCTCCCAATGCAAATATAAAGAGCTCCTTCTCAGGTAAAGAACACAGCCATCTGTACAACTTGTCCTAGTGAAAATATCACTAGGATTATTTTATATTGAATTTTTACCAATAGTTCTCTTTCACCTAAATGTTAGACACTGGACACTTAATTTATTTCACAGTATGGCACTATAGTGATGACATGATGTCGGCAGCTGTAATAATAAATTGTTCCATTGCTCCCATAAAATGGCTGCTAACACTAGTACATTTGTTATGTTTTCAGTTGAGCTCTAAGCTCTGCAGTGTGACAAACTCTTTTCTACTAATGGGGGGCTAGAGGTTATGCTAATGATCAGAATTGCTGACTGACTTAGATTGCTCATACATATGATCCACATAAAAAAGAAAACAACAAAAATATCCAAAATTGGGATAAAAATAGCCTTGCATGAGAAGAGTATGGCTAAAAGCTACCACCATGAACTACTGTGACATGGACAGTGATGTAATGGTTCAGTGGGTGTGTGTATTTGGATGTGCTTGGATATTTCATTAGATCAGGCTATCTTTTGACACAGCACGAGTCATCCAAACTTCCATACAAACTATGACACTTCATTTACAATTTTACATCAAATGTTTAAAACGATTTGCTGATATTCTTGTATTGCTTGTTGAGGGTGATCTAAAGCCATCCGATCAATTCATTCAGAGAAGGTCAGTTAACTTCCGTGTAGAAATTGGTTGTCATATCGTTCCTAATTAACATTGTATGTTGTGTTCACAGTTTGTGTTCTGTCATGCTACATGGTCCAAAGCTCGTCAGCTAATATTACTTTAGTTTGGCCATTATTCCACTTTATACAGTGGTCATTACTTTCAGCGAACCGGTGCGGAAGCGCAAGATCTTCTTCTTAAGGGCATGCGAGGCCTTAATCTTGACAAAAGCTTTGGGCTGCAGAGGGGCTCCAGGTGGGGCCGGAGGTGATGGGAGGGAAAGTTGAGGGGGGAGTTGTTGGGGCCAAACCAGACCACCACTTTCATCTGAGTCACTGGACAAAGAGCTGGAATCTGGAGAGTCAGCCTCGCTCATGCTTGACTCAGACTCACCCTGATCTTGGTGAAGGAAGTCCTCACTTGTCTTACACAGTGGCACTTGATCCCTTTCTAACTGGTACTCCATTTGTTGATGATGGTGTGAGGGGTGTTGGTGATTGTGGTTTCGGTGTGGATAGACATATGATACATGTGTAGAACGAGATTTGCGTGTGCGCCTAGAACACTGATCCCTTTGGTTTGGCACAGGTGCCTGCATGGGCAGCTGGTCAGCTTCATCTTGGCTAAGATCAAGACTGGACTGCCAGCGCCGATAGCTACCATTTCCTTGCTGTTGTTTCTTGCTCCTGGATTGACTACTCCGGCTTCCCCTTCCACCACTCCCACTTCCTCCTCCATCCCTCTCTACTGTATTGTACTTGCGCTCTGGAACCCTTTGCAAGCTGTTCTCTGACTGAGACCTACACGCCTTCTTCCCCAGCCTCTTAATGGCACTACTTCTCTCTTCATTCAAACGGCACTTCTTTGGGCCCCCCCGACATCTGGAGGGCTGGACCTGAGACGCTGTTGGCTGCTGCTCTTCATGATGATGGTTTCTTTCTGGAGAAAACATGCTTCTGTTATGTTTAGGTACGCCAGAGCCCTTCTGGGGATTGGAGTGATAATGGGCATAAGCTCTGGTATAGGCTCGACAGGGCTGGGCTGGAATATACTCTGCATTGACCAACTGCTCATCAGGAGAAGGTGCGTGGTGAGGCTTTGACAGAGCTGGAGCTGGCTGGTAGTTGTGAATCAGGGTTGAATCATTTTCACTATTGCTGGAGTCTTGTTTGGCTTGCTGCACACAAGATGGATAGTCTGGCAAGGTTGAGCTGGATGTGTTAACCATAGAGGCCTGCCTTGGCTTGTGATAAAAACCTGGTTGATGCTGAACACTTTGGAGCAGCTGGTTGTGGTATAGGGGTGAGGCCTCTTCATTAAACTCTGTCCCTAGATTACACTTCTGATCCACAATTTGGCAAGCCTGTAAAGCAGTTACCTCTGAACACTGGGAAAGAGATGAGATCGTTTGAACAGACACCTGCTTTGGTGAATCTTGCTCATCCTTACGGCATACACTACTCTGCCTCACCACACTGACAACTCTGGCATCATGTGAGAGGCTGGTGCGGGTCTTGGACGGGCGTATGGGTAAAGCTCGGCGTTGGATAAGACAGAATATATAATTCTCTACTTTTTGTGCTTTTTTGTAATCTCCCTGACTGGGATCATCATTCCTCATCTCACCAAAGGCATCATCAGTAAATGTGTCTTGTCTCCTTGTGTCTGATTGCCATGATTCTCTTATCTCTGTCTCCCCTGTACCCACAGGGACTAAGAGGGAACTTGGGATCACAGTTTGGTAATTTGATTCAGGAGATCCATTTTGCCTCGTTACAAGGACATCTCCTGAAAAAAAGAAAAGACAAAATATTTTATCAGTTTTATTATTGATGTTACAATTTCAGTATCCTCACCGTTGCAAATGGAAGACAAATACTGGGAATTAATGCAACACTTCTCTTTGTATTGTGGTCGATTCAATTTAAATTTATTTAACTTCATCAGAGATTGTCTTTGAGGGAAAAATCCATGGAGAGGATACTGCAGCATGTCCAAACAACTGAAATTATCTGTCTGGGAATATAAAAAGAGGCTACTGTTGAAGAAGCAGGCATTCCAAAAACAGAGGGGTTCATTGTTCATTGAGACTGTCTGTTCCCTGTCCCATTAAATAATTTAAATTAAACACTAACAGAGGGAGAATTCCACACAAAAAACTAATACAGATTAACACAACCTCTGCAACAACACAACAAACAAAGACAATTAAATGTGGACTCCTAAACATAATATCACTGTCATGAAAGGTTATTTCAATACATGAACTAGTCTCAGATCAAAATTTGTATTTATTGTCCCTCACGGAGACCTGGCTGCATCCTGAAGAATATGTCAGCCTAAATGAATCTACTCCCCCCAATCATATATATAGACACACACCCAGAGACTCTGGCCGAGGAGGTGGATTTGCTGCTACATTTCTAACTCCATTCTATATATTAATCCTAAACCTAAACTAGGCTACAACTCATTTGAAGAATCAGAATCAGAATCGCTTTATTGCCAGGTATGTGAACACACACGAGGAATTTGACTCTGGTTTTCCTTTCTTCTCTTATTACAACAGTTTAAAAAAAAACAACAAACAAACATAGAGATGAACAAGGACAAAAGACAATAACAAAAAGCTATGTACATGTACAAAAAAGCTAAATAGTTGGTGCAAATGGTGCATAGTGCAAGGATGAAATAATAAATATACATGTACAGTTTGTACAGTATATTGTATGTACAGAGATATTACAGGTGATGTTTCTGATATTTGAATCCGGTTTTAGCTGTTTGACACAGAGACAGCCTGAGGGAAAAAGCTGTTCTTAAAACGGGATGTTTTGGCGTATAGTGTTCTGTAGTGTCTACCGGAGGGGAGAAGTTTAAACAGTTTGTATCCAGGGTGTGATGGG